TAGATGAAATGATCATCTACAGAGAAAATACTAAGAAATCTCTAGGAGCCCCTAGAACTTGTATTTGAATTTAGCTGGATTAGAAAACACAAGGTATTTTCAGGTCTGTGTATACTTGCTATAAATGAAGACTTGGATATTGAAATTTAAAAGTTATATAGAAGTACAAAGGACCTAGAAAAGTAAAAAGAAAAGAAAAAAAAACAGTGTTGGAAGATGTTTAGTACCTAATTTTAAAACTTCCTCTAAAGGTAATCAAGGCAGTGTTGGTGTAAGGAAAAACATATAGATCATTGAAATAAAACAGAGAATCTAGAAATAGAACCTCACATATATGGCCCGCTGAATTTTGAAAGATTATTTAACATTAACATTTTATAGAACATAAACTCAATTCAAGAGCAGAGGAAATGATAGTGTTTTCAGCAAATGACAGTAGAGCACCTGGTATCCATACATAAAAAAATTAACCTCAACCCTTTATTTCCATACATAAAAATAACTTGAAAGGATCTATGAACCTAAATTATGAAAGACTAAAACTATAAAACTAAGAAGAAATTATAAGGGAAAATGTTTATGAGGTAAGAATTTCCTAGGATGTACAAAACATGATGTATAAAAGAAAAAAATTGATAAATGAGATTCCATCAAAATTTAGAACTTTAAATAACATTGTTAAGAAAATGAAAAGTAGTCCTTAAACAGACCATACTTATAATGCATATAACCTATGACCAGAATATATTAAGAACTCTTACAGCTCATTAATAGATAGCCCAATTAAAAAGTAGACACAAGAAGATGATAAATATCCAGTACAGCACAAGGAAAAGTGTGCAACACTAGAATCAGAAAAATACTAATCAGTACAATAACAAGATTGAATTATACACCCATTAGGGAGATGAAGTTAAAAGTTTAAAAAGAACAAATGTCAGCTTAGGTGTGAACCAGTTAGAACTTCCTAATCCTGCTAATGTGAATGTAAAATGATAAAACTGTTTTGGAAAACAATATAGAAATTTCTTGTATTACTGTTAAGAACCAACAGTTCTGTTTTTAAGTTTTTACTTAAGAGGAATGAAAATACATTTTCACAATAGATTTGTATATACAAGTTGACTATCCCTTATCTGAAATTCTTGGGACCAGAGTGTTTCAGATTTTCATTTGAAATCCACTTGATCTGCCAAGAGGACAGCTACTCCTGCTTTTTTTTTGGGGGGGGGGTTCCTGTCACATGGAGCATTGTTTTCCACCCTTTAACTTTCAGTTTATGAGTTTCTTTTTGAATTAAGTATGTTTCTTGTATGCAGCATATTGTTAGATTTTGCTTCTTGACCCATTCTGCCAGGCTATTTCTTTTGAATGGTGAATTGAGGCCATTAACATTGATGGTTATAACTTATACATATTGACTTATCATTGTCATGACTTTTTCTGTTTGTTGGATTCTCCCCCTTTGCATTTAATTTCTTGTCATGCCAGATGCATTCATTCTGCTGGGTTTCCTGGGGTTGTGATCCTCATTGTCTTTTCCTAGGATATTGTCTAAAAGCTTTTGGAGTGCTGGTTTGGTATTCATGAAGTTCCTAAGGTGCTCTTTGTCATGAAAGTATCTTATTTCTCCATCCATTTTGAAAGATAGTTTTTCAGGGTACATCAATCTGGGTTGGAGGCTGTTTTCCTTTAGGGCTTGAAATACATCACTCCAAGCTCTTCTTGCCTTGAGGGTTTGCGTTGAGAAGTCTGCTGTGATTCTGATGGGCTTTCCTTTGTATGTGATTTGTTTCTTTTCTCTCACTTCTTGTAGAATTTTATTCTTCTGTTGTGTTTCTGGAATCTTAACTATTATATGTCTATGTGTAGATTTTTTTTGATCACAGCTACTTGGAGTCCTATATGCCTCACTTATCTGTATGTCAAGTTCTTTTCCCCTCCTTGGGAAGTTTTCTGCCATCCCTTCTGTGAACAGTATTTTTTATGATATCTGAACTCCCTCTTGTTTCTTCACTGATTCTGATCAGTCTTATGTTATTCTTCTTTGCCTCATCTAGCAGCTGCTGGATTGATTTCTCATGGTCCCTTACAATTTTAAAGAAATTTTTCTTTTGCTGGTCACTAATTGCAATCTTATCTTCTGTATCTGAAATTCTGTCCTCACATTGGTTCATTCTGTTGCGTAGAGTTTCAATGGAGTTTTTAATCTCCTGGAAATCTGTTTGTATCTGTTTTATGGATTCCATTTGTTTCCTATGTTGGGATTCCATCATGTTCCTCACCTCCTCTATTTTTTTTATCTGTGTCCTCTCTAGATTTATTAATCATGTCTTGCACTATGGGCACAATCTCTGCTGTTATCTGAGAAGTTATTTCTGATTTCATTTTTTCCAGATCCTCTTTTGTTGCCAGTTCAGGGAGTCCAGGTGGTTGAGTATCACAGTGTTCCATCTCGTTTCCCTTTGGGGTTGTTTTAGGTGATCTGGAAGTCTGGTTTTGAAACTTGTTTAAGTGTCTTCTCATTTTAACGGGGGGTGGGGTGGGTGGGGGTGCTGCTGGTGCAGCTCACTTCCTCTATGCTGGTGGGGGTGGTACGGTGCCCCAGAAGCCTCCTCCTGTGCACTGGGAGTGGCTCACCTTCTCTGTCTAGAATGAATTTTTGTGTCTCATATTCCTTTCTTCACTTTTCCTTTATATACTTTTTGCCTATTTATTGATGACTGAGGCTGGATTACAATTGAAACACATTAAAATATACCATTGAAGGATAAAATCCTCACAGGACTAAAACATAAGGCCATTCTCTTATAGTACAAAAGAATCTAGGATTAGCAGAGGTTTTGAAAGATTTCTGGCCCAATTATCCACTGAGGCGGTCACTATGGTGTCTTATGTGAAAGGCAGATACTGCTTATGTTTATGAGGAGGAGTACAAGTCTAGCAAGCTCTGCTTGAGGCCAAAAAGGTTCAGTGAACTCTCTCTTCCATGTGGAAGCAGCCTTGAAAGTATCAAGATCACCATGATGTCTGTCCACTCTCCTGCCCTCTGAAAGTTTTCTCTTTTTTAGATTGAACAATCCCAACAATTACAGTTCTTCTGAATATTTTTATATATCTGAGGCTAATTAGTAAAATAGGATTAGACTAGCATCTTTGCTTTTTTCAATGACAAAATAAAAATGGGATTATATGAACAGCAGAGGCAATCCTGGAGTCCACTGAGGCTAATGCCACTTAGAGATTAAAAAAACCCCTCAGGCCTGGAGATGTTAAGAACTTTTGCCATCTTCATTCTGAACTTCATTAGAGGTAGCATGGAAGCATTTGTAATTTTGGAAATGAAGATGGAAAAATGATCACCTCTGCTACTTTAGTGATGAAACACAAGGGTTTATGTGTTAAGAGATTCTTTCTCAAACCTTAACTTAGCTACTTTTCTCTATGCGATGACTATAATGAATGTATCCTTAGAGTGTTTTGTTACCTATAAAGTGGGCATGAAAAAGCCTAATATGCAAATTAGATGCAGTAACCTAAGTTAAATATCAGCTTCTTTTCCTTTTCCCTTCCATGCATGATTAATAGTATCACCATAGTGTGTATTTGGGGGACTGGAGCTTGGAGGTGGAGAGAACCTGATTGTGCCTTGGTGGATGGA